TTGATTCTCCAAGAATTGGAGTCTGTCAGCTGACTGAGAAAATTCACGTCTTCTAGTATAGAAGACGTGAAAAATATTGAAGATTGAAGAGTCAGAAAATACGAAAAATGTAGTAAGAGTGAAGAGAGGAAATCCAAAATTATGGTGACGATGATAAGACCAGATGGTCAGACTGAACTTTCTGAAAATTCTAGAATTCATAAAAATAAAGATACTGTAAAAAGTGTAATAGAAGGGTTCCCACACTGTCAAGTTTGAGCTCAATTATCTCGATTCCTATGCAAGATATCAGAAATGTTTTAACAGACAAAAGGTGTATGATAATGTGATAAGCAATTTATCAGTTAACAACTTTTTCATATCTTTGACAGAAAGCGAGAAAAAACACAAAGTTAAAGGAGCCCTTCTTACAAGGATAATTCTAAACATTTCCAAAATTTCGAAAAAAAAAACCAAAAATCGAAATCTCAGATTTTTAGGCAATCCGAAAATTCCAGAAAATTTATATTATTCGGAGAAAATTTCCTTTGGCATAATTTCAATTTTCAAAATATCTAGCTTTCCTTGACGTCTTCTAGGAATCTAGAAATCCAGAAGACGTCCACCACAGAAAACCAGAAAAAGTGAGGAAAACGAGAAGGGTATATGGGTCGTGGAGAACCCGCCGAAACACTTTAATCTACCCCCTGGCTCTTCTTCCTCTTCTTTTCTCCTCATATATCCATTTCGCGTGCCCTCAAACAAATGGTCTCCAGGGACACAAAAAAGACTCTCCAAAATCTTCGGAAATCGGGGAAAAGAAAGAAGTGGAAGGAGAAAATCAACGTCTTCTGAAAATATATTGGTGTCTGGAATTTTTTGGTCGAAATTTCGAGAATTTCGGACTTTTTTTTTCAAATTTCAGAATTTTGAAATTTTAGAAAACAAAGTCCCTTTTTTGTTAAAAATATGAAAAATCAAAAATTTCAAAAATCTAGAAATTTTCAATTTTTTTTTTGAATTTTCAAAAATTTCAATTTCCTGAATTTTCGGATTACTGATTTTTTTTTAAATTTTTGAATTTAAACATTTTTTGAATTTCTGAGTTTCTGGATCTTGTAATTTCTAAGTTTTAAAAGTTTTTTTTGTTGATATTTCGGTATTTCTGAATTTCTGAAATTTCAGAAAAAACAATCTAAAAATTGGAAACTTAAAGGAGGCGAGACAGCAAAAATTTCGGGGGCAGTTCGGGGGACAAAATCGCGCCGCGCTTATGTAGACCATCGGTCGTCAGGCGCCTTCGCGCCCCCGTAGCTCAGCCGGTAGCGGCGCTGTACCCCTGAGCTGCCTGTCATGAGTTCAACACCTCATGGGGGTTCACTATGCAAAATATTAGGAAAAATTTTTTTGGTGTCTGGCCTCCTTTAAAAATTTCGAAAATTCCTAAAATTCAAAGTTTTCTCAAAACTTCAAGGGTTTCGAGAAAAAAAATTCGGGAAAAATGGGTGGAGTTATTGGGCGGAGCCTGAAATTCCAGTGGTAGAAACATGCTGTTTTTGAAAATTTCATACTTGACAAATTTTTTTTGAAAACTGTATTCTGAAATTTCGATTTTTTTTGAAACTCTCAATTTTTCAAAAAATTCGAAATATTGCAATTTTTCGAAACTTGTCAAAAAAAGGAAAATTGAAATCCTGAATTCGAAAATTTCAAAATCAGATTTTTCGATTTTTTTTCGAACAATCCGGAAATTCCGAATACTGAATTCTTCTAAAAAAAAAAGAAGGCGTCGTGTTTGAAAATCAAAAAATACTACAAGTATCTCTAGAACCAAAAAGAGAAAAATCGACGAAATAAATAAATAAATATCAATGATGAATTAAATTATTTCTTTTCCCCTTTTTTCTATTTCTAGAAGAAGAAGAAGACGTCCAGAAGACGTCGTCCGATGACACGAATGAAGAGGAGAAATAAAAAAAAATAATACTGAATTAATTTTTTTTTTCTCCGATATATATTCTTTCAGATGAAGAAGAAAAAAGAAGAGAGAGAGACTGAAAAAAAGAGTTGGGGTCCTCTTTTTTTCGGAGAGTTTAGCGGAGAAGAGGCTGAGAATTTTATTATTATATCCGTGTGAGGAAAGAAGGAAAGGGAAAAATATAGTGGGAATTTTTGAAATAAATGAGTAAGCAAATGGCATTGGGGGATTGATATCTAGGTATATTTTTTTGGGGTCTGGAAAATAAAAAAGTCGAAAATTTTTAAAAATAGATATTGAAATTTTGTAAGAAAATAATCGAAAAAAAACCTTTGAAATCTGTAAAAATATTTTTTTACGAATAATTTCTGAAATCTTTATATTTTTGAAGTTCGAAATTTCAGAATTCTATTTCTTTTTCTACAATTTTAGCAGCGTATCCTTTCGACATGACTTCGAGAAATTTCTCGAGACGAATTCATCTTGAAGTGGTGGCCTAGATTTGCAAATATGGCTTTCTAGGCCACCACGTTAAAATGGCCTCGAAATGGTCTGACATGCACCTTTCCCTAGAAACCAGATTTGCAAAAATTTTGCCACCATTTCAAAATGACTTAGAAAAAACACCAGAGCCATGTTAGACCATTTTTAGGCGGTTTTGAAGTGGTGGCCTAGAAAAACAAACTTGAAAAAGTTAGGCCACCACTTCAAAATGACCTAGAAAACACACCAAGGTCATGTTAGGGCATTTCAGGCCATTTTAAAGTGATGGCCTAGAAAACCGAACTTTCAGAAGCAAAATGACAAAACAAGCGAGAAAACAATGTCAGCAACGACACTCCGAAATTCCGCATTGTGCATTTTCTATAAATTTCAAGGAATTTTTTTCGAGGAAGAATTTCCCGAGAATGAACAAATTTTGGTTATGCGCTTTTAAAGGGGGACCAAAAATTTTTATTTTATTAAAATGTGTTAAAAGTTATCTATTTTCCGAATATTATTGCGAAAAAATTCAAAAAAAAATCCGAAATCCCCGAAAAACGGCGTTGAAAAGGAGAAAATTCAAAAAAAGGTGCCGCCGGGGGACGAGGATTTTTAGTGAGAAACCTAGGCCACGGCAGCGGGCGCCTTTCCTACGTGGCAAATTTTCCGGATTTTTTTCAATTTCATTTCCGGCAGGTAAAAA